TCCATTTTATTATGCATATATAAATCAATAAAACAAAAATTTGGTACGGTCTCACCTAAGTTGTGGAGAAAAAATTCAGCATAACTAGACCATTTCACTTGTAAGAATAAAGAGGTATGTAAAAAGGTGGATTTCAAATTTTAGCAAAGGTGACGTAAAATTCAGAACTGGCTGTAGGCCTGTAGCTACAATGTGCATGCAATTGCAAGCTAACTCCTCCAAAAGAAGTTTCTCTGCTATCTATCTCCAAATAGTTGCCCTTTCACGGCTTCTGCGGAAGAATATGCATGTGTGTATGATATAATGATATAATGATATAATGATATAATATAGAAGAAATTGTAGTAATGATTCTTTAATTTTAACTCAATTGAAGTAATGATTTCTTAATTAAAATTAATGACTTGCTTCCTTAACTCATCAAAACGTGCAGTTATGATCCTTTTCCTCAACTTCGTTAGAACTTCAGTCAGAAGGAGTCACATGCCACGCACACGAGGTTGAATCAAAAGGGCAAATATGGAAAAGTAAATGAGAAAATTGTAGCAATGGTCTCTCAATTTTAATCTAATTGGAGCAACGACCTCTCAACTTTAACCCAATTGTAGCAATGGTCCTTCCACCATGGCTTATTTTGACGGAAATCTTGACGGAGTTGACGAAAAAACCATAGCTGTACGTTTTGATAAGTTAAGGGACCAATGATCACAAAATTTTAGTAGGGAGACCATTACTCCAATTGGATTAAAGTTAAAGAACAATTGCTATTATCCATAGCTGCACGTTTTAATGGTTGTGAATGCACCTGCTAATTAAACTTATGAATAACTTTCCGACAAAAAATTTACTTAAATTGGACATGATTGAGCCCTTTGATTTTCATAGTGACATTTTATTGTTTATTGACGTCACCATGTTCTTTTGTTTATGGTGTTGTAGTTGGATAACTAAACGATTTTTTGATTTGAGTGAGATTTTGCAAGAGTAATCCTTATTCAACGGTGCCCTTCAAAATGATTGGTTTGGATCACCATGAATCTTGTTAAATGTGCTCAAACGAAAACGAGTACCTAGAAAGTAAGTTAGCGGTTCAAAATGATCGGTTTGGACCATCGATATTTCAAGAGTTTATAATACTCTTATAAATTTGAGTGAACTCATTCCAAATAAAGTAGTCCATAAAACTTCATTTATATTCAATTATGATTTGATTTTTAAGTATTTTACAACATCAAGAATTTTGATGGATTTGGAGGGATTTTAGGAAATCACTCCTCTTCCCTTAAGCTTTTTTGTGTTTAAACTTGAAACGTTAAGGTGTATTAGTGCAACGTCCAAAACTTGAGAGACTTTTGTAAAGTACTATCGAAATGACCTTAACGTTCCAAGAGCAAGGAATTAGAAGAACAAAAACAAAAACTTAAACCCCCTATTTAGGCAGAGAACACGTTTCGACTGTCAGATGGAAATAAGCGGTTGTCCGAGACCTTATAGTAAATTTTCCATTTTATTACGCGTATACAAATTTGTAAAACAAAAATTTGGTACGTTCTCACCTAAGTTGTGGAGAAAAAATTCAGTATAACCGGATCATTTCACTTGTAAGAATAAAGAGGTATGTAAAAAGGTGGATTTCAAATTTTAGCAAAGGTGACGTAAAATTCAAGACTGGCTGTAGGCCTGTAGCTACAATGTGCATGCAATTGCAAGCTAACTCCCCCAAAAGAAGTTTCTCTGCTATCTATCTCCAAAGAGTTGCCCTTTCACGGCTTCCGCGAAAGAACATGCATGTGTGCATGATATAATAATATAATATATAAGAAATTGTAGTAATGATTATTTAATTTTAGTTTAATTGGAGTAATGATTTCTCAATAGTGACCATTGCTTTCTTAACTAATCAAAACGTGCAGTTATGATCTTTTTCGTCAACTTTGTCAGAACTTCAGTCAGAAGGAGTCACATGCCACACACACAAGGTTGAATCAAAGGGGCAAATATGGAAAAGTAAATGAGAACCTCAATTTTAATCTAATTGGAGCAATGACCCTTAACTTTAACCCAATTGTAGCAATGGTCATTCCACCATAGCTCATTTTGACGAAAATCTTGACGGAGTTGACGAAAAAACCATAGTTGCACGTTTTGATAAGTTAAGAAACCAATGATCACAAAATTTTAGTAAGGAGACCATTACTCCAATTGAATTAAAGTTAAAGAATAATTGCTATTATCCATAGCTGCACGTTTTGATGGTTGTGAATGAATACTTACATGCACCCATTAATTAAACTTATGAATAATGCTAAGGAAATCAAAATTTTAAATTAAATTTTGTAAATCAAATGATGTGGTTATCGATGATTGGATTATCACTTATTGAATGAATACTTATATGCACCTGTTAATTAAATTTATGGATAATGTTAGAAAAATCAAAATTTTAAATAAAATTTTGTAAACCAAATGATGTGGTTGTTGATGATTGGATTATCATTTAAGTGTTAATTAATATGTTTAATTTCTATTAATAACACATCACATAGTTTACAAATTTAGTTATAAAATTTGATCTTCATAGCATTATCCTAAACTTATTAATTATTTCTACGGCTAGAAAAGAGTAATGTTATTCATACTATGTTTTTATATCATATTTCTGTACCACCTTAGATGGCATCTGATGCGGACAGTCACATCATTTGAAAAATTTACAAAACCCAAAGAAAGAAAGGAGAAAGATTGCTCCTATGCCACAATCATTATTTAATTAACTAGTTTTTTTTTAATTATTAGTTTATTAAATAATGAACTAAAATTAAAAATATGATTAATTCAAATGATATGGCTGTTCACATCAAATGCTATCTAACATGGTATAAAAATGTGCTACAAAAATATAGTATGAATAACATTACTTGTTGGAAAAGCAGCCGAGTTAAAAGTGTTCAGAGCAGACGCTAAAGTCCAGGTTGTCCTTATGTTCAGAGTCCCATTTTCCAAGTTGACTTGTACTTAGTATTGTGCACAAGAAAAACAGGGAGGATCTTATTTATTTTTTTCCAATTTATTAATAAATTAATTATTTTTGCCCATATGGAATTTTATTTTGTCTTGTTTATTGAGGAGTCGCAGTCCACGCTTTTATCATTGAGCCACTTGTTATAATTTTTAATTAATATAATTTGGATAATGGTAATTACCAATTCCCGGTCAACAAATGAGTTTGGATTGCCAAGTATTTGCCATAGGCACCTTTTGTATTTATTGCCACCTACTGCTGTTGAAGTTCTTTACATTTTATCATTTTATTTAGTTATTTTTTGTGCAACGATATTTTACTTTAAAAGCAAGAGGATCTGTTTTTGACCTCTAAAATAGATGTTTTTACTGAGGATGTTCAATTGATAACGAAATGAAATGGAATTTACCAAGTGTTGAAAAATAAAAGGATTATCTCTTCTTCTAGGAAATTAAGGGCAAATAATTATTCTATTTTAAAAGCGAGAGGATAATCTACTTTTGGTCTCTAAAACAGATGTTTTTGCTGAGGATGGTCAATTGATAAAGAAATGACATGGAAAGGATAATATACTTGTGGCCTCAAAAACAGATGTTTTTGCTGAGGATGGTCAATTGATAAACAAGCGTTGAAAAATAAAAGGATTATCTCTTCTTCTAGGAAATTAAGGGCAAATATTATTTTGGACTGGCTACATTGTATAACAGTTTATAGTCAATTCAAAGAGTAGGAAAATAAAATGATTATAAACTATTCTAATAAGCAATTTCCATTTTTGGACTCATTAGGAGAAAATTTATTTTTCTAATAGTCAGTCCAAAAGTTTCTAATAATCAATCTCCCTGGTAGTTGATCAACTTCTAGAAAAGTTTTTATTTATTATTATTTTTATATGCTCAATGAATTACATAATTTAGGGTTTAGGCACACGTTCCGATTAAATATATTTTCCAAAATTCATAGGCCATCAGCCACTTGTTCCGTCTTGGAGAAGGGGGTAGCTTCTTCCCCCATTCTCATAGCCTTCATGTTCTCATGGATTTTGACGCAAATTTGTTTTTCGATTTTAGAATTTTCGTCAATAAGTGATTCCTTTTTATTAGGGATAAGTTCATTTGGTTTTGGAGTTCTTTTTTTAGTCAAGTTTGGATGTGAATTAATGATTTAAGATTTGGATGTGTTCCTTTTATTCTCTTACATGTCTCGCTCTCAAATCTACCTATGGTGTGGAAATTAATTTGGCAAAAAAAAAAAAAAAAAAAAAGGTATTTCACAAAACTAGTATACTCACAAACACAACCTTGTCAATAATATTAACCATTACATTTGAGACTTATTTTGAGTTCACATCCCTTAATTTCATTTGATAAACAATATAGTTATTTTAGAATTTGTGCAAACATTGTTAACATGAGTGAAAGAGATGCAGACCTAAGAGAAAAAAATCTCGATTTCTTACTGATTTGAGAATCTTGTTACAAAGTTGTGTAAGGGCTCAATATGTATAGTGAACTTAACTGTAACTAGGCAGTAGGAACATGTAAGATACGTGATGTTATGCTAGATTACACACCCCAGTCGATTTAGAAAAAAAAAATTGAGCTTTTTTATTTTGTTTTGTTCTTCTTTTTAAACCTTGGCAGCATGGAGAAATTTATTTTGTTTTTAATACAAGCGCTAGTGAAGGAATAGATTTTCAAGACCTGGGAAGTCTTCAAGGTGAATACTCTTAACCAACTGACCTACAAACCCCTTGCAAAAATAATTGAGTTCTATGAGCGGATATCCATCATAATGTTATATATGATCTAAATGAGGACCAAACAGATATTCAACAAGAAAAAAAAAATGTTGGAGAGGCCTAATGAAATATGACAAAATGTTCTTAGAAATTACGTAGATGGAGTTCTGGGACGTCCACATCCGAACTGCTCCAAATACAATGTTTGTAACTTTTCATAGCACTATAAAAACAGGCAATGGTCGAAGTTCAATCTAACTAAAACGTTCTCTCCTCATTTAATCTAATTTGTTCAGTTGTACGTTGCTAGCTCTTTGTTTTTCAATGGCTAAAACAGCTCCGGTAGTTTTGACCCAAAACATTAATATTTCTGATACCCAAAGGGCCACCTCCTTTAATCATTCAACTGATTCCTCTAGCATCAACTGCCAAGAGCACTCCATTTCAGCTCCTGATGATGAAATCCCCACCATTGATTACAGCATGATCTTCTCTGGTGATGTCGATCAACGACCCAAGGCCCTCCAATATCTTGCCTATGTTTGCGAGGAGTACGGCTTTTTTTATGTATGGAATTCCTCTCATCTACACACATTGTATCTGTATGCACAATTTAATTTAACTGACTAAAGTTTCTTAAACATGTGTATTATAACACACACATAGAGCTTCAAGTGTGTGTCAGATGTTCACAGAGACGAGCTACTGATTACCCACTCTACCAAAACTTCTATGGCACGGGGATGCCATGGTGGAAATATCCCATGGTTTACTAAAAGAAAATAAAATTATAATTATTTATGGAACTAAGTAGATCAGTTTTTATAAACCCACGAGAATATAACAAATAAGGGTATGTGTTGCGTTTTATTCAATGACCTTTTTTTGTCTTGTGCAAAAAGAAATGCATGTTTCTATTTCTTTTTCTTTTTTTTTGTGTCAATAAGGTTTTCCTCATTCCGTCCCAGGTTTTTATTTTATTTTGTATAAAAAAGTATGTTTTCTGAGGATGTACTAAACAATTTGCCAGCTGATAAATCATGGTTTGCCGGATAACGTAATTGACAAAGCACTGAAGGGAGTTTCCGAGTTCTTTAATCTGACGGAGGAGGAAAAGTTGGAGTATGAGAAGAAGGATTCGGCAGATAGGATCAGATGGGGGCTAGGTTTCTCACCTGGGGACCATGAAGCTGTCAAGCGGGAGTATCTCAAAGTTCTCCCACATCCAAAGTTTGAAGGGCCTGACAAACCAGCAGGTTTCAGGTATAAGAAAATAGTTGTGTTTGAGTTTATAAGAAATTCGTTGCTGCTTCATTGCAAGAATTTCTAATGCATAAAAAAAAATCAAGAATTTCCAAAGTTATTTCCTTTGTATAAATATTCTACAAAAGCAAAAACAAGATCTTACTTGTTCTGCAAGCAACCTCATTGTGTTTTTACATCGTCCACATAGATTCTATAATTGTGTTTTTTTTAAATTTTGAGGGTAAAACATATATAAATTCAACTTTGGGTTTTTTTTACATTGTCCACTTTGGGTTGAAAATTTTGAGGGTAAAACATATATAAATTCACTTTTATGATGTATATCCAAATTCTAATTAGCTTCGTAACTACTGGCCTTTCAAAATTTTCTTTTACGTGTTACAGCAAGTCTTTGGAAGATTATTACCAAAGGGACCGAGAGGTGATGATAAACTTGGCAAAGGCAGTATCAAAAACGTTGGGATTCGAAGAAAATTACTTAGAGAAGGAACTAGGGTTGGAAATTGGCGCCGATGTTTCTGCAATGAACGTGTATCCCCCCTGGTTTAAATCCAACACTCCAATCGGTCTGCCGGCGCATCACGATCCTGGCTACCTAGTTTCCCTTGTACAAAACGTCAACGGCGGTCTCCAATTACACTATAAGCAAAAGTGGATCAATGTTCATTTGCCTTCTAATTCCATTTTTGTTAATATTGGGGATCATCTTGAGGTAAATATGCATTAGTTGTATATTTTAAGCCCATAATTTCTTTTTGGACATGCGATATGTGGTAACATAATCAACCATGTTAATTACATTGCTGAGCCATATCTTATAGAGATGAGGCCACCGGTGCTGGTTTGAACACGCGAACCAACCCAGCAAACAAGGAAATAATGTCTCCTGGGACACTGAGAAGAGTAATGCTAGGCTACCATATTTTCTATATCATACATGTACCATTTCTCTAATAGAGGTAGGGTCACCTACACATATAAGTCTCACATTTATTAGAGAGACAATACAAATGTGATATGGAAAATATGATAAGAGTAGCATTTTTATCGTGAGAATGATTCACGCCGTATAAAGGGAAACCTTATATGTGCCATATTTATTGTTCACATACTATATTAGTCATATCTTTCACAAAGATCGAACCTATGAACTAATGGATTCGACTTACTAGAGGTATGAACATATGGGGTTCCATATAGTATTTCCTCAATGCAATTATGACGGTTCATTTTCCATACTACGCAATAACCTAGACAATTAAAGAGCAATTACATTTTTAGTACAAAACTTAGAATAAAGTAAAGAAGATAAGTATCCAAGTTTGTTAATGTATAACTAAGCTAATTTTGATTCAAATATTGCTTGTATTATAATAGGTTTTAACTAATGGGAAGTACAAGAGTCCTATGCATCGTGTGATCCTAAACAACAAGGTTACAAGAGTCTCTGTGGCCACAGTACACGGACCATCACACAACACATTCGTGAAACCAGCTTCAGAGTTTGTGGACGAGTCTCACCCGCCAAAATACCGAGGGATGATATACAAGGACTCCTTGGAAGCCAATGGTTACCATGAGATTGATGGAAAATCATGCCTACAACAACTTCGGATATGAATTAAGCAGCTAGGTGTTTAAGCTTAAAGCTGGCACATAGATGTCGTGTGCTAAAATATTTAAATAATGTGTGTGTTTCCGTTATGAAGTAATCAATGTAATTGATCCTAAAAACAATATTTTGTTATGGTGCTAATTAATAATGAATAAGGTATCGCAGAAGTTGCCCCACTTTGGTTTGTGTGTCGCAATTTTACTAGTAATAGCTACGCCAGCATAAATCACGTTTGTATCGTGTTGTACCTTTGTAATTGTCCTGATGGATAAAGTATTTCTTTTAAACTCACTGCATTTCAGATTTAAATTCTTACCCTCTTTTTAGTGTTTATTAGAATAATGATATCGTTTGTAATAAAATGTATTGAAAAAGCCCTCTCCCATTGCTGATGTGTGATTATTATTTTGTTCCTAATCATTTGGTTTTGGTGTTTAACTACTTGGGTTTGTGCATTTTAATATTAAATAATTTCCCTTTTTTTTGTTTTCACTTAATACTGAATAATGTAACTCAACACTAACTAAGAGACTTTAATCGTTTGTGCTTGTTACCCAATTAACTAAGGACCTGAACTACCTTTAAGCCCAAAGGAGAAGTTTCATCGCTTCTATGTGTAATTTAATACATTCTAATTACTTAATTAATATAATCAATTAATTCCATCATCCCTTACTTATCTCATTACACAAGCGTATTGGTGTACAACCGTTTTAGGTTCTAATTAGCGAGGTAGTAAGGTGATTGGTATCAATACAATTGGTTAGAACTTTAAATCACCTAGTGAATTAAAACTTACTTTTAGTTCTCCCTTACATCGACAATTATGTGATGAATCATCAAGAGGAACCCTCAAGCCAAAAATGATATCTAGCCATATGTCATGGCTACCCAATCATTCTCTAATTTATTACTCTCAATCATGTTATTAGGGTATGGTTAGTTTTATGTCAAACCACTATTGGAATCATTCTAACTTATAGGATTCTATTGAGACGTATAGGAATGTCTTCCTTTATTACGCTCGATACTTCGGTCAAAGATTCCCGAATCATATCATAGATTATTCTTCTTCTCGTACTGTGGATTAGAAATTCCTTGTTGAACATTCAAATGTATCTGAGAATAAGTCAGTGACCACAACAATGCATAGAACATATCCAATATGGGAATTGGTCACGTCTCATTGTCATTGATTAGCAAGGTATCCTCATGACAACTATGATGTCTTAGGGAAAATGATTACTTGCATTATTCCAACTTGTAGGGTTGCTTGCTTAACATGCATGTAGAATTTCATGTGAGTACTTTTGTTTGATTGTATTCAATGAGCTAATTCCCTTAACAAGCTCCTACATACTAGTCTTAGTGTCCCTACATGAGTGGTTTCAAAAGGGCCATCTCCTCCTATTGAAGTAGATATAGTATGTACTGATATATCTGGAAATGTCTCATTAGTCAAACCTCTTAATATTACTTCTTCGATCAATCCATTGTCCATGGATTCATTACTTGAACGCATATTGTTTAATTGACATAGTCCTAAATAGGACTTTACTTGTGTATTTCATTAGTCATCACCAAATATTTTAACATTATCTTGAAAGGTTTCTTCTCAAGATTGACTTTCAGGGCATCTCTCCAATAATACGACCATTCCAGTGTGTGACTTACAAACAACCATTATGCATTCAAAATGAAAGATGATAACCTTTCCCTTATTCCAGTTACAAACCACCACTAATATGCATGTTCTGTTTGAAGGGTTATGACCATTTCCAATTAGCCACAAAGAATTATTTGATTAATTAATTTTTTGAAATTTTACAACATCTTCCTCTGCTTCTTTTTTAATAAATGAATACAGAATAAGCGAGTTGAGGTGGAGTGCATGCAGAGAGTGTGAGGTATATGCAGAAAGTGTGGAGTGTGAAGGTAGTAGGAAATGTATGTAAGGTGTACTAAAATAAATTTTATTTGAAAAAATAAATGTAGATTTTAATCATTAGGTGATGTGTATTTAATAATAATAAGGCAAATTTAGAAAGCATGATGCATGTCACAAATTCCAACACTAAACTTTATCTAAATCGATGTCATTTCTGACATATACTGATTGCCTTGTTTAGAACCATAGTAAATAAAAAAAGTTTAAATTCCAAATTTAGACCATCACCACCAACACTCTTACATGCTGCCACCGACCTTACCATCACCATCACCATCATCATCACCATCATCTTATCATCGTCGGCACACTAACAAGAATTTTAATGAATTTGAATGATAAGATCAAGTTGATGTGAGAAGAAAAACGTAAAGAACAACCACATTGATTGAATTAAAATGTTTGAGACAAAATTATAAGTTTCACAAACACCATGGGCTAATGGTACAAAAATTATTAGGAAACAGAGAAAATAATTTTTTGAATTTTCTTATGAGAAATGCTAAGGATATTTTTCGTGTGAAAAAAAAACATAATACGTCGTCCAATTTGTGGTTTCTTCTCCCTCTTCCGTTGAGATTTGTGTACCGCCAAAACGAAAACACACCAAAAACTCTCGCCTCCTTTTCTCTTTGTTATCCTACAATCCCATCTGCCCAAAACGCTCAAATTCCCAAATATGATTTCTCCGTTTGATTACGGACTGCGTTTTGGGTTGCTTTCTTCTCAGATCTCTACCGCCCTCCCACTTCGAAACTGAAATCAGGTACTTTTCCCTGGTTTTTGCCTCTGCCTCAATTTTCTGTTTATATTTTGATTTTATCTCTCTGCCTTTGGAATTGCAGAAGCATTAAGGAATTACAGCTTATTCAAGTTAAGGGGATGCAAAATATCAGCATTGAAGGCTAGTCTTTAGAATCATTGAAGCTGGTTTCTGGAAATAATGGAGACCTCTTCCATCTAAACATCTCTGGTGAGAAACTCGAAGAGATACATATAGCTTGGAAAAACGTTTCTTCATCACCAAGAAGCACATCCTTGATGATATCTGCCCCAAATCTTAGAAAGTTGAAACTGGAGGGTCATTTGACGAACAGGCTAAAGTTTTGGAAGCATACGACCTTATTAGAGAAAGCCGAGATCTTATTGTGGCATAAGGCAAATGAGTGCGGCAATATTTTTGAGGTTCTTCGCAGTGTATGCAATGCTAAAACGACCAGGCCACTAAGGTAACGATACACTATCCTCTAAACACATTCTCATTTGCTAAAACGATTTATTTGAATTACTAAAATCTTTTTGTAGGATAGATACAATATTCTGAAGAATGGAGACTGCTTTAGTTGAAATCTATTACTACATTTTGTTTTTCCTTTTCCTTATAGTGTTCGGTTTATTGTCCTCTATCTATTTAACTTTCCTACGAAAAATTGCAGGCTTTGTTCGGGAAAGGTTCTGTGACAATGATGACATAGTTCCTGCAGTGGTCTCTCTTTTCAGAGCAGTGACAAATCTGAACACCTTGCACATAAAGTGTCGCATATTCGCAGGTGGTGGTCAATGTGATGTAAGTGAAAGCCTGTGTTGCCTATTCTCCATTAAACTATTTTTTTCTTTTGGTTAGAATTTTCTACTGATCTGCTCGTTTCCTTGTTGTCTTATCTCCAGTCATCTCCGTTCGACACAAACTACTGGAAAATGCGAAACCTTGGTTTCATTAACCAGCTTAAGGAGGTAACCATAGAGCCTTTCTACGGTCCTAATGAAAATGAGTTTGCAAAGTATATTCTCGAGCATGCTCAGAACTTGAAGAAAATGGTTATTAGTTATTTGAAAGAGAAGCAATCGAATGTTGTGGCTGGAATGGTAAGCAAAAACAACATGATTTCTTCTACAGCCAAAGTTGTCATCAGGGAAAGTCGTCTGGCGTGTCTGAGCTAAACCTGCTTAAACAAGGGCACGTTGTATCTCAAAGACTCATGATGGTTGGTTAATAGTTCTGTCTTTTTTAAAGGGGTATGAGGAGTTTCCTAAATAAGACACCTCAGATACAAAAACAGAATAATGTGAAAAACTACTATGTTCTTCATATCTCTATCATCGTCCATTTTCATATCCTACAATTCTTGTGTTTTAATCTTTGGGCAATTGATTACTTGGCAATTCGATCTGCCATTGGTGTGCATAGCGGATCGGACACCCTGTGAAGCTTTAGGTTGTATCTTAGAGTTGTAGGCACCGCCATAACCAGTACATTAGGAGGCGTCTACGGCTTTAGGGCAGCGACATTGTGCCTTTCTTTGGTTCACAGGCCAAAATTTCAAAATTTCTGATTTTGATTTAATTTTCATAGATTTGATAGTAATTATATACTTAATCAGGCCCTTTAAGTGATTTTTTTCAAAAAAGGATTCATTGTGGGATTTACTTCACATCGAACTTCAACGATTTCAAACCACCTATTTTGTAAGTCTTGTTTTATTAATATTAATCATTCTTGCAAAATTTTAATTGAATTCGAAACTATTTTTCTATTTAATTGTCACAATGAAATTTAATGTTTCTTAAAATATAATGTTTGTCAATTTCTTTTAACTCAATTAGATGACTAAAATATTTCCGATTTGGTTAATATTTTGTAAGGATGATCTATGAGTTATAACTTAAAAAATAAACAATTTGGATTGTTGAAGTTTGTGTGGTGTGAGTTGTACAAGTACTTTCAATTCTTTGAAAAAAAAATAAAGATCCATTTCCTTAAAGGTTTTCTATATTTAATTATATAAATAGTTAGTACAATTTTGCAATATATTATACACAGCATAGATCCGAGTACCAACCCAATTGATGCTGTTTCTTTGTTTCGGGTTCATTATCGAATGTCTCGTTAGACTGCTTACGTACCCTAAACAGGGATCAAGCCAATATAATAAATGAGACTAAATAATTGAGACAATAACCTTGTTTGGGGAATTGAGCAATGTGAGGGACATTGGTGGAAAATGTGAGATTTAACCTTATGATTTGGTGGTTAAATGTTGTTCATAAATCAATGTGTGAAGAATCAAGAAATTGAAGTAAGGAAACGTAAGTAATGATAGCTAATTAAACTAATGTCTAGTTAGGCTTATCACGGATAATTATTCCCGAAAATAAATAGTTTGGAAGTGGGGTGTTATAGATTATGCATTTCACGCCATGTTATATATATATATATATATATTTGGAAACACTATGTTATGGTTGTGTTTTAGATTGCATCATGGCATATCCATATGTATATTATTTGCACATAATTATTGTGAATGCTTTGAAGTGCAAAGGTGAACGCAAGACGCTCAGGTAAGTACCAGGTGAGCTATTGATTGATTAAGTGAAATGACGATTATGTGAGATGTGATGAGAGCTCATAACCTGCACCTCGGTGTTAGTGCTTCAGCCCGTGGCCAGGGCACAGTCTTGTCGTACAGACCACTGTAGGTGGTTTCGACTTGTAGGTGACCCACGATTATTCGCATAGTCTTCACATAATCGAGCACTTGAGCGAATTTATTTACACTAGTCTTGTCGTACAAACCACTAGAGGTGGTTGCGACTCGTGTGCAGGCATGTTTGATGAGCTATGGATAAGTCATACAAGCCACTATAGATGACTCCGACTTATATGCTAGCATTGATTGATGAGATATGTGATGAGGTATTGATTAAGTCGTACATGTCATTATAGGTGACTCCGACTTATATGCTAGCATTGATTGATGAGATATGAGATGGGATATTTATTAAGTCGTACAGGTCATTATAGGTGACTCCGACTTATGTGCTAGCATTGATTGATGAGATATGGATAAGTAGTACATGTCACGTGAGGTGACTGCGGGTAGTATGTTGATGAGCTATTGATTTAGCCGTATAAGCCATAATAGGTGGATCCGGCTGATATACTATTTCATATTGATTTATTTCATCTGGGTTACTTATTCTTGTTGAGATATTTGACACGGCATAACTATGAGATTGTTATTTTGGTTATGGTTTGAATTATTGTCACGCTTGTTATTTTCTAGGAAATTATATAGGTGTTACGGCTAGGGGTTATTGCCTTTGGTAATTGAAGTTGGTTTGAAAAGTTTTGTTTCACTCACTCACACTTTTTATTTTTGCACCCCTCCAGGTTCTATTAGCAGAGTTCCGTATCGACCAGGATTCGTGGCACTTTTCAGTACAGATGTCTTCTTATGATGGTATAATCATTATCTTACCTTACTGTACTATACCTATGCTCTATATCATGTGTGAAATGGGTCTAGATCCGCTCATTGTGCACTCGTGTACTTAGGCACTTTTAGATTTTAATTTATTCACATTTTATACATTATCACACTTTATGGCTTTGTCACCTTCTTGGTGTCGGCCAGCACGGCTCGATTCAGGATCCTAGTGGACATTCTGGATCGGGATGTGTCATAGTATATAGCTAACCTAACAGAACCAATAAACCTGTGTGTTGAATGACAAATCGAGAGAAATTACAAATATCATATCAAGTCCGATTACTATATACTTAAAATGCTGGTTTTTGGTCGGTAAGACATTGTGATTTAGTGCCAGGAATAACGGTAAAAATGATCCTGGAATACAATCGTTTGTTTGGCCTTCAAAAACTGCTCTGAAATATGATCACTGACTCAAACATTTGTTTGGCCAGGGGTAACGGTACAGAGAGAGACATGAAACATCCCCCTTTTATCCAATAATGCCGGTTCTATAGCCTAAGACATTGTGATTTACTACATGTTGCTGATTCTGTATTTAAACTTTTATTTATCGATAATGTGCTATCATCGAACTCATCAACTAGCGGAGCCAGCAAGAGTGTTGGTTAAAACTTGGCTGCAATGAGATTTAAACACTTTAGTGACTATTTCTCTCCTCAATCCTCATGACATATAACCTGTGAGGAGCAGATAACCACAATAATGTATAACCTGTGAAGAGAATATAACCACAATAAAACATGCACATCGTTGTATGTTGCACCCAAGTCTCTTTTGTTTAAAAAGCAAAACTAACCAACTTCACTTCGCTTTAAAACAAAAAATAAACAAAAAAGTTCGAAGTCACTTGCATAGTAGGATTTATCTTTGTAGCCAAACTTGCAAAGTTGGAATTTAGATAAACATGCACCTTTGTATAGCACAATCACAATTATCACTAATACAATTATTTGGATTCAGATAACACAAAGATGAACCATACACAACCAAACTAAATTTCTATTCCTAAAAACTTGTTCGAACCAAACACTTGTTCAACTTTATTTTGTTTGATAATAAGATATTTTACACTACTATAATTGAGATGGAGATTTTGAACTAGGTCAATGGAGCGGACTCACTAGTTCACCTTTTATTGACACATATGTTTAATTATGGACAACTCAAATGTTTACTGGTTTCAATAAAGGCGAATTTGGTCGATGCTTGACTGGACATCAATCTCATCACCGCCGTTAGCTTCTATGGATTGTTTGTAGGTCATTGCACGATATGCTGGTGGGTGACATTCATCTACAAACTCTGGTGCTGGTCCCACTAGTGCATCCAACGAAGGTCCATGTAGTGTTGCCACTGAGATCCTCTGTACTTTGTTGTTGTCCACAACCACTCGATGAACATGGCTCTTGTACTTCCCATTGGTTAAGATCTGTATCAACGTAATTAAAATAATACATATGAAGCTAATAATGTATTTTGTTTTAACCGAGCAGAAATTATTTGTACAGATTGGAAGGGTCCACATAACGGACGACTTAAATAACCTTATTTGAAGAACTCCTTGTACAACTTTGTTTTGAACTTTGTTTTAATAATTTAAAACGTCTATTTTATAATTTTTTATTCAAATATAATCATTCTAAAATAGACAATAAAAAATTAATAAGACATACTAGTTGTAAAAAAATAAAATTGACGAGAACAGTTATTTTAAGAAAACACTAATCAAGCTGTTAAGAAAATACCTAAAGCTAGACGTCGGAACATTAAAATGCAAAACACAGAGTGAACCCTACAGTTGAAGCTGCCTCCTCTTAAATTATATTATACACAAAATTAAAATACAAGTACACACCACTACAAAGACAGGTAAAAGAACAAACTATTAATTTAGTGATAGAATATACCTCAAGATGGTCACCAAGGTTTATAAAAATGGCATTATGAGGGATATTAACATTGATGCATTGACCACTATTGGATAGTATTTGCAGACCACCATTCACATCTTGTATGAGTGACACAAAGAAGCCTGGGTCAGTATGATCAGGCACACCAATTGATCCTTTTGATATGAAATTGGGTGGGTATAGGTTCATGGCAGACATATCAAAACCAGATTCAAGCTTAAAAGCTTTTTCTACGTAGCATTCTTCAAATCCCAAGCCTTTTGACACTGCCTTTCCCAGACCTTTTACTATCTCTCGCGATGCTTTGAAATACTCTTCCAAGGCGTCACTGTTGAAATAAAAAACCGCAAAAATATATAATTTTATGAAAAAAATGTCGTACATTACAATACGAAGTACGTCAGTCAAAAATTTAAAATATATTAGTTCTTGATAAGAGAGGGAGTGCCAAACCTTATTTTCATCAAGTGTTAGCTGGGTGCTTCTATACATATATAATTTTTTGTTTTGTTTCCTTTTGATTTACAACAAAAGGGGATCCGATCGAACATGAAATTATTATGGTATTATTTATGCTAGTTTTGTGGCACTTTTGTTTTAAGCTATAGGTTAAAGTCTTAAACATGAAAAGGGAGCATAGAAGCAACTATGTATAATGTAAAAAAAAGTTATTGAATGGCTTAGGTACACATGTTGCTTAAGAAGAGAGATTCTCATATTTTTACAAGAAATGAGAACTAGTTGCAAAATCCACTACACTTCTTGTACAACGATCGAAACTGTCTATATTGAAAGTCTTTTCTCATAAATCCTTAAAAATTTTATTCGTTTAATTACCTATTTAATTCTTATCATGAATATCCATTGCTTCCTAGAACATTATGTTCATAATTACTACATGTCTCAACCATTTCAATTGGGATAATATTTTGGAAACCAAAAATGTCATTCTTATCATATCTTTATACCATCATTTGTATCATCTCTATAATAGAAATGGTACCCACATCTGTTGGTGGATCCTAACTCTAATTTTTTTTTTTACCAATTGATATTTTCTACACTAAGGGAAGGGGATGAGGTTAGCCTCACAATGGGCTAGCAATAATGTGGTTCAAATTTGCCTTTGGTAGACTCTAACTCTATTAGAAACTTGTAATAATTATTATTATTAAGGGGAGGGGAAGGGTTTGAAACTATTACAATAATTTAGGGGATGAGAGAGTTTTGAATCCGGGACGTAGGGGTGGAAACCCAACACCTTTCAATTAGGATATTGAACCACATACTACCCATATTAGAAATATAGTACAAATAAATACTAAGTGTAACATTACTCTTTGAAAACATAATCTCTAAAGTGAAATTTGGAAAATAAACGATTGAAATTATTGAAATTTAATGCGGAGTGAATCCTATATATAATTAGTCTCCTTATTACTAAACATGGTTTGCCTCCCCTTAATGAAGAAACATATATCCCTTCATCAGTCAGTCTCCCTCGATTTTCATTTACAAATCTCTCTCTCTCTCTCTCTCTCTCTCTCTCTGGCCTTTTCGTTCGTTTTAGTTTATAAACCAACACAACAGAAAATAAAACGTTATCAAACGCGCCATAGTTATAATACTTATATAAATTTAAAAAAAAAAATTATGTTATAATTTGCTTCTTCGTAACACAACTGATGAATTTACAGTAAAATGATTTATTAAATAACGATAAATATCATAACATAGTAGACAAACTAAATCACCATAAATATACCTAAAACCAGCTGGTTTAGAAGGGCAGTGAAACTGGGGATGTGTAATGACCTTCAGATATTCCCTATTCTCTCCAGGAGAAGATCGCAAGGCCCATCGAATTCTATCCGTCGGACTCTTTTTCTCGTACTGCTTTCGGTCCTCTATCTCCTCCGGGTTAAAGAAATCAGAAATTCCTTTGAAAACACCCTCAAACACGCCGTTGGAGATTCCATGATTTACAAGCTGAAAATATGGAGCACAAAAATTTGTCAGCAGTCGAATCCAATTATTAAACATATTACATGAGAAAAAATGAAATGAAATGTGCATGGAACAAATAGTTGGGTGATAATTGACTTTAAATTAATGTTCAAGGTTAATGCATAAAAAATTAGGAAAGCACCTCTAATATATATGGTATATACTTGCGTTAATACTTCAGATCCAAGTATGAAAGATTTCTGACTAAAATATTTTATAATCATGTTGGCTTGTACTATATATACTTTATCTATCAATATGGAAGCAAAATAGGCTTCTAATTTCATTTTTTGAGGGGATTAAGGAAGAAAACTGAAATCCTCCTAGTTTAGAGTAATAATAGTTGCTCCTTATAATACCTAAGATATATTGGTCATGTCGTGCAGCTAAGTATATCGACAAGAACACTATTTCTTTTCTTTTTCTTAAAGCGATATTAGGGAAATCTGATTGAATGTACCAAAGAAAAAGGGTGAATGTATTAAGGATATAAGTTTCAATATTTGGTTTTAGCTAAACCCTCAATATATATGATTGGAAGTCCGAAAGCAAAAGTAATAAAGGGAGATTTGTTTCCATAAATATTAATAGGGGGGGTTTTTCTGACATTGTTAGGGCACATATAAAGCATAGACGAAAATCCTGCAACAAAAAATAAAAATAAAATAAGCATATATACGCACATAGAAAAAGCCGAAGTCCTTGCAGACATGGCCTAAGTTTTCGAGGGCTTTGGATCGTTCATCAAAATCATCAGAGAATAACATGAAATAATCAACGGTGGGGATTTCATCAGCCTCAACAGCTACAACAGAATCATTAGGGTTGATGATGGACGGTGAGTTAATGGAGGCAAGGGAGATGGCAGGGTTGGGTTGAATAGTCATATGATTAATAAGCACTGGAGCTGTCTCAGCAGCCATTTTATGTCTGCTAATTGCTCGTTGGAGAGGATAATCAAGAGAGAGTATTAGTTGCTCTGAACTTGCTTAGGAAGTCAGGTGGATGAGTTTTGCATGCATTGATGCGACTACGTTACTTTCATTTATAGGGAGAATGTGGCCCCCACTTGGCTAGAAAAATGTTCCACTTAAGTATAAACTAAGGAAATTACTCATAAACTAATTCATGTTGGTTGATTAATTTTGACCAAAACCTAGTTGATTGAAATATTATTACAACAAACCATGTTTCAGCAGTATATGTGAACACAATCTAGCTCGTTTGGTCCTTTTCTCTTCAGCTAAACGAAATAAATTTATAGAAGCCAGGAACAATGCATTCTAATTAAACGACAAACTGGTTTTGCCTTGGTGCATGTGTTTGTAAAGAATCTTTGCATTATGTTCCAAGACTCCAAGTTGATGACGTTACGATTGTTTTGTAAGCAGAATTGTTTGTTTGTGAATATTAAAATAATCTTTAGAAAACAAATTATTTATGCCAATATTTCTGTTTCTTTTATTAATCTTATTCCGGCAGAACCGCTTGCTTGCTAGTGGCAGACAGACCAGGTTAATTACATTTACATTATAGTTTACTAAGGAACAAATTGTTCAAGAGAAGGCTTAGCTTAAGGTGTCTTTTGTTAGATTTGTTATAGCTGTCAATAGTTAGTTAGATGGTTAGGATCTGTTGTAAGCACAAGTGTGTGCAGCAAGTTAAGTATAAATACCCTTTGTAATTAATCTTATTATTCTTTATCAATGAAGGTATAATTTTCGTATTATAGTTTACATCTTCAGGACTCCGGAGTTATTACAACTACATGAATAAAAGATTAATTGGGAACGGGAAAATTTTCTTATTAAGAGTAACATTGAAGTATGTGAATAAATATTTTTTTTTTTAATACAAGCGATATTACTACTCAAATTTATACTAGCTAGGGGCATGAGCGTTAATGTAACGACCCATCCCCAAAAGTTACAGTCTTTATAAATTTTTAAATGTGAAATTTTGAAAATGCCCTTAGAGGCAAAGATGTTGATTTTTGTTGACTGTCTTGTCATGTCACATAAGGTTCGTTTTCTTAGAGTATCCTTATAGTACTCGTCACTACGGATGCGTGGGTATAAACGAAACGCAATTTGGACTTATAACGAAGGAGTTATTAACGTTTGAAGTTGGGGGCATTTTAGTAAATTAATTAATATCAAGAAAGTTCCAGCTTTTTGGAGCAAAATCTGGAAAGCCACGTGTGTGGCCTAGATTAAAAGAGAGAAAAGATGGGCGGTGGAGATGAGAGATAAACGAGAGAAAGGAGGGGTGGGATGCCCATTTAGAAAATGAGAGAGAACAGGGTGACCAATGGGTGAGGAGAGAAACGAGAGAAAGGAGAGAAAGGAAAGAAGGGGAGAAGGAGAGGAACCCGATGTGTTTCCATTGATCCGTACCCAACTCCGCTCATCCACACCTTCCGACACCTTTTCAGGCGATTTTTTTCCAGCGAATGACCTCTATCCATCACCTGGAAAACATTCGACTACCCTCCCTCTTCCTTTTCCACCTAAAATTACAATGAATTTGGTTGTATTTTGGGGAAAACATGCCGACGGGAACCATGGGTGCCGTAAGGATCCTCGGCCGAGATCCACCAAACCTAAAATGTATTCATTCAATTAACACCACCAATAGACTCTCCATGAACCCAGAAACAAAGCCCAATCAACCTTAGAGGCGTTGGAGCTTGTTTGGAGTCGAATCAAGAACCACCAATTTCTAGGGTGCCGACGGATTTTTATGAAATTGGGGCCTTTCCCGACAAAATTGGCCTTGGTCGCAGGTATAAAAGTTACTCTGCTCATTGAGATCTTCATTTCTGTGAAGTTTGAGAATTTTTAGAAATAGTTGAATTTTCCGGCAAGTCGAGGTGGCCGGCCACCACCTGCAACGACGCGTGGGCGGAGACGTTCCCTGACCTTCCTAGGCTAAATTTGAATACCCTGATTCCATGGGTGAAGTCTGATTGATGAATTTTCGTCATTTGAACATAGTTCCATTAAGGTCTGCCATTTGATTATTATAGCAATTGACGATCCGATCGTTGGATTGTCACCAAACTTTGACACGTTATAATACGTAATATTTGAGGATATTAGAAACTTACGAATTAGGAATCTGACTTATGGATCTTCCCGAATAGGATATGTAAGTTATAGGTTCTATTGATAAGAATTATAAGACATGATTTGATAATTGTTCTAGGCGCCGGTTGTTCGTGATGCCTTGATGTTGTGCTAAGGAGTTGTAGCGTGGACTCTAGGTGAGTGGGCTTTTGGTTTTCTATACACACACACACGTATATATATGCTTTACATTTTCCCTGAAACTATTTCGAAACAAGCGTATTCTTTTAAATGCCATGTCATGCTTGCATTTCATTTCATTATATGCATTGGTATGTATATGCATATTATTGTATGACGCTACAGAGGCCAGGTAAGTTTCAAGTGAGTACTGTATGATGTTGGTGGTTGCATTGGTTATGGTTATACGTAGAGGCATGTAGAGCTCATTATCCTGCACTCCAGTGTTAGTGCTCCCGCTTGTGGCCAGGGCACAGTCCTTCACGTGATGTTCAGCTCCCACACTGCACGCTCACCTTGGATCCAAGTTTGGTGCATAGCCCTGTCGTACGGACCAAATTAGGTGGTTCCGACTAGTAGGTGACCTGCGATTATTCGCACAACCTTCACGTGATTGTAGCACTTAAGCGTACTTATTTACACCCAGCCCTGTCGTATAGACCATATTAGGTGGTTCCGACTCGTGTGCAGGAATTGGTTAATGAGCTATAGGTTCAGCCGTACAGGTCACATTAGGTGATTCTGGCTGACACATCATTTTACATTGATTTATTTCACCTGGCTTACTTATTTTATTGCTGAGATACTTGACATGGCATATACTCAGTTTTCACTACTCTTGAGCATGGTTTCTATATATGTATGTATTATTATTTTCTGGAAAATTATACGGGTTTTATGGCGAGGGGTTATAATGTTTTCAAAAGGTTTTTATTAAAAACTTTATTTTTAGGCCCACTCACCCTTGTTTTTACGCCCCACCAGGTTTTAGCTACTGAAGGTTCGTATCGACGAGGATTCTTGGCAAATCTCAGTATATGTGGCTACCTATGAGGATATGATCCTTACCCACACTACTGAACTTTACTTATGCTCTGACGTTGCGTGTGAAATGAGTTCATTCCCGCTCACATCGCACTCTTGTCTTTAGGTACTTTTAGGTTTAAATTTATTCACATTTTCCACATCTCTATACTTTATGGCTTCGTCACCTTCTAAGTGTCGATTAACTACAGCTCGATTTAGAGTTCTAGTGGACATTCCGGTCGAGGTGTGTCAGTTAAGCTATATAGAATGTCTCAATTTATGTATTGTATCAGAGAGAAAAGAGTTTCCGGGAGAAAGGAAGAAGAGGAAAGAACAATTCTTTGATTCTATTTCTTAATGAAGAAGTAATACAAGATGTTAAACTTTACAGTCTTGGATATTATAAGCTTATCAACTAACTAAGTCTCTAATCTGATGACAAGTGTCAATCTAAACTACCACATATATACTCTAACATCCCTCCTCAACTCATGCTTTGAAGATCAAAGCATGAGATTGCCATAATGTGTATGAAAAAGAGGAGAACTTAACCCATTTGTAAGGATGTCTTTATAGATAACACAAATAGAACATATAGTTGCTTCTTGGCCAATCTTTCTCTGACAGAATTAACATTTATTTCAATATACTTGGTCCTTTGATGCTGCATTGGATTGAAAGACAAAGAAATGGTAAACAAATTATCAAAAAAACAACACATGGGTATAAGGTAATGAAACCTACTAAAAAGCAAAAAGCTACTTTATCCAAATTAATTTATGCAGAAGTAGAAGACAAAGCCCTATATTTAGCTTCAATTGATGACCTTGAAACTTTTACTGTTTTTTTTTAGGACCAGGAAATAGAATAAGAGCCTAAAAACACCTTTAAACCAGTAATGACCTTCTATCATTGAGATCCTCTACCCAATTGGCATCACTAAAAGCTTTCAAAAGTAAATTTCCTATGGTATCAGATATGCCAAAGTAAATGGTGCCCTTCAAATACCTTAATATCCTCTTGACAGCAGTGAAATGAGACATAATTGGATTCTGCACAAACTCACAGACTTGATGCACAGAGAAAGCTATGTCTTGTCTAGTGAAAATCAAGTATTGCAATTCATCTACAATACTTTTATGTAAAGCTGGATTTCCATATGGCTGACCATCATCTTTAAGAAGCATATTGTAAGGAAAGCAAGGTGTATCACAGGCTTCGGACTTAAGCATCTTTGTCTTCGTTAATAAATCTTGAACATACTTAGTCTACGATAAGAATCATCTATGTGCAGTCCGGGTATATTGAATTTCCAAAAAATCATGTAATGGACCTAAGTCCTTAATGTAAAACTTAGAAGTGAGAGCATTTATAACCTATTGAATAGCATCAAGAGGACTCCCATTGATGATAATATCATCGACATATAACTAGAAAACCACAATTGCAGACTCAACTTGCTTTACAAACAATGGGGGATCATTGTATGCATTTATGAAACCCAATTTACAAAGAAAAAAAGTAGTACATTTACCATTCCAGGGCCTAGGTGCTTGTTTCAAGCTATGGAGAGACTTGTGATGCTTACAAACTAGAGTAGGATGATTGGAATCCTCAAACCCTAGAATCTGTGTCATTTATACTTCCTTATGTAAAATGTCATGCAAGAAGACATATTTGACATCTAATTGCCCAGGAGACCAATTGAAATGAGCAACTAGTGCCAACACTAATCTCACTTTCATAGGCTTAACTATAGGACTAAAAGTCTCCTTATAGTATAATCCAGGTTCTTGACTAAAATATTT